TTCTTTGTACCACGGTGATAGTCCAAGGTAGAACCAATAAAGAAGAATTCGAACACGTATATGGAATAACACAGATATATTACAAACAGGAATATATACAGAGAAGTAGAAAGTGTTAGTACGAACAATAGGGTTTAGTAGTAATTGTCTGAATGCAACTTTGTTTCGGACTGCCTCTGACTCGACTGACTGACTCGCTCTGACTGACTCCAGACGGACTTCACTCCAGACGGACTTCACTCCTGTATGAACGGGTTCAGGGTCGGTTTACCTCACCGAAAGAGACTCCGCCCTTCGGCGTAGCCTCGTTTGGGTTCCTCCGACTTCAGACTGAATAGTATTTAGTCAACCCCACCCCACGATAGCATCATGTGGCACAAGGCCGGTTTAACATAGGATCTCCGATCCTATGGGCTCGGCCAAAAATATTCCCTTTGAACTTTGAACCCCTATAAATGGGTTCAGGTTCTGTTTACCTCCCCGAAAGAGACTCCGCCCTTCAGCGTAGCCTTGTTCGGGTTCCTCCCCGCCCGAAGGCCCGGTCGCCTGACTTCAGACTGAATTCCCTGCTTCCTCTTGAGGCGCAGTATTTATTACGTATGGAATAGTCCATTATGTTATTATGGGTAAGGTCCCATAACACTAAGCAACCCTGAATGCCGCCTAATAAACCCCACCGTTTTGGTGGGGTTTATTAGGTAAAATTAGTAAGATTACCTTACAGGAGATATGTGAATCTTTAAGGACTTTTCTTAATATAAACCAATGGAGTTCTTCCCATGATTGCATTAGGTGGTTTACGAATTATAATAAAGACATTAGATATTCATTTGTTACGTATGATATTAAAGAATACTACCCGTCGATTACAGAAAAATCTCTTAACGAAGCACTTCGATTTGCAAAAGAGTTCATACAGATTTCGGATGATAAAATAGATCTTATCAGACACTGCCGCAAGACCTTATTGTTCCATAATAATGAATTATTGATAAAAAAAAAGACGATATAAATAATTTTGATAATCCCATGGGGGCATACGATGGAGCAGATGTGTGCGAATTAGTAGGATGCCTTTTGCTTTACAATCTAAACCATCACGTAGACTTTAATAACCATGGGTTATACCGTGATGATAGATTAATTACAGTAGATAGAAGTAATCCCAGAAAATGTGATACAATCCGAAAAAAACTGCACTGGCTCTTCAAAAATTCGGATTCAACCTCGAAATTGAAACTAAAAAGTCACTAATTACCTGGATATCAGTTTAGATATACAAGATGGCACTGTTTGCCACGTAAACAAAAGATAACCGCAATATTTAAATATATGATCTAACCACCCGGCGTATATTCTAAAACATATTTCTAAAGACATTAGTAATAGACTATCTACCAATTCATCTTCGATGCTAATAAATTAATTTACGAGCAAGCTCTAGCTAAAACTGGACACAAAGATAAGCTAGAATACATTAACATAAATGATGACAATGAAATCCAGAATAAATATAAAAATAGACATAGAAACATATTGTGGTTCAATCCTCCGTTTAATTTATCTGTAAAAACTAAAATTGGTAAAATATTTTTAATCTACTGAAACAAAATTTCCCAAAGACTAGTAAACTACCCAAAATATTTAATAAAAACACCGTCAAACTAAGCTACAGTTGTATGCCAAACGTACCAAATTTAATTAATGGACTAGCAGCATGGCCCGGCGTTACCCGTGCTTGATTCAAAAATCGTAGGACTCATACAGCAATCGCTATCACTTGACTTAAAATATTTTTGCCCTTTGCCGTGCTGATGTTGCTACATGCCTTACTTCTTGCCTAGCTCACACTGCGAATTTTTTCTAAGCTCTATACTAAACATTAAATCTGTTACGAAAAAAGAACTAAACAAAATGAACACAAAACGATCAGCTTTAAAAAGGGACTCGTAACTGGAAAAACCGAATGAAAAAAGAATGTTAACAACAAATACTTTTTCACCCCCAACCCATTTCTGCGGAATCAGAATCAACGTTGAGTCTAAGCAAGCGAATGAGCCAATTGGAGTAAAGTGCCATGCAGATTTAAATTTTTCCCGCTTGTGACGAATGCAGCTATCGATTTTTGCATGCTAGCATGCTAGTTAACATTCGCGTCAGTCAGCTGTTGGCTCTCACGCTAGCCAATAGAATCTTCCTGCCTATTCATGGCAGCTAGCTCAAGGCCCTCACTCAAGGCGCAAACTACATGAAACCTGCCGTAGAAGCATGAAAAATCGATTATTTCCACTATCGATGGGAGTTGGGAAATGCAAAGTCGGTCTTGGTCTTCCCGCTGACTTGGAGCATGTGCATGTAAATTTTGGTGCAAATCCGTCGAAAATTGCGGCCGTGCATTAGTTACTGTTATGGTGCGGTTCCTTGTACCACGGTGATAGTCCAAGGTAGAACTAATAAAGAAGAACTCGAACACAGGTATGGAATAACACAGATATATTAC